CGAGGCGGGTGAATCATGAGGTTAGAAGATCAAGACCATCCTGACTAACACGGTGAAACCCCGTCTTTACTAAAAATATAAAAAATTAGCTGGGCGTGGTGGCGGGCGCCTATAGTCCCAGCTACTCGGGAGGCTGAGGCAGGAGAATGGCGGGAACCCGGGAGGCGGATCTTGCAGTGAGCCAAGATCGCACCACTGCGCTCCAGCCTGGGCAACAGAGCGAGACTCTGTCTCAAAAAAAAAAAAAAAAAGAAATACATATACTGATTAGAAATGATATTCATGGCATATTAATTGAAGAATGTAAGATATGGATTTTGTAGAATCAATTTTTCATTAAATAAAACAATTAAAACTAAATATATTTATGTATAAGTAGATAATTAAATGTATATATTTCATATATTTTATGTATAGACAATTCAATGTACATATTTCACAAATACAGAAAAATTGAAAAAATGAAAACTGAATTACTAATAGAGGTTATTTGCAGGGACCAGATTATATTTGTTACAGTGAGCATATTACTTCTGTAAGAAAAGAAGATAAAAATTCAGTGTGATACATACATTAACAGCATGTAAGACTGAGGCTGTATGGAGGAGAGTATGATTAACTCCACTGATATGTGTGTGTTGGGAGTGGTTTGGGGAGTGGAATTAGAGAATGCTTGAAAGAGATAATGAAATGTGAGCACAGCGTTGTCCAGGGTAGAGAAGAAAAGTGGAAAAGGAGGAAAGGTACTGTCAAGGAAGACAATGAGTGTACTTCCATACTCATTACGATTTTCACAACTACTGTCTATAATTTGTAGACCAAAAAAAAAGACAGGCAAGCATGTACATAAAAGCAGGTTGTGGGCCAGACGTGGTGGCTCACGCCTGTAATCCCAGCACTTTGGGAGGCTGAGGCAGGCGGATCACCTGAGGTCAGGAGTTCGAGACCAGCCTGGCCAACATGGCAAAACCCTGCCTCTACTGAAAATACAAAAATTAGCGGGGTATGGTGGCACCTGCCTATAATCCCAGCTACTAGGGAGGCTGAGGCAGGAGAATCGCTTGAACCCGGGAAGTAGAGGTTGCAGCAAGCCGAGATCATGCCACTGCACTCTGGCCTGGGTGACATAGTGAGACACCGTCTCGAAAAATAAAATAAAAGCAGGATGTGGCTGGGTGCGGCGGCTCACACCTGTAATCTCAGAACTTCAGGGAGGCTGAGGCAATGTGGAACACTTGAGCCCAGGTGTTGGAGACTAGCCTGCGCAATATAGTGAGACCCTGTCTCTCTCCCTCTCTTAAGAAAAAGCAGAATGTGCCAAGGGAACCCTGAGTCAATTTGATATTTCTGGAGTTTTGAAGCGTGAAGAGTGGCAAGGGTTTAGTAAGAGGGAAAGCAGGAGCCAGGCTGCTGAGGGCTTCTAGTACTGCCTGGGAGTACGAACACTGTCATGTAGGACAAGGTGACCACTGATGGGGTTGCAGCAGGAGAGTAACATCAGCTATGTGGAAGATGGATTGGAAAGAAGCAAAACTGGAAACTGGGGGGCCATTTAAATAAGCTATAATGAAGACTGAAACTAGTGGCAGGGTAAATTAGGAAAGCAGATGGATTTCAGAAGTATTTCCGAGGAAAATACACAAGACTTAGTGATTCTCTGGATACTGGTGGTGTATAGAGAGGGATGTCTTGATTGACTTCCAAACGTTTGGCTTTGGTAACCGGGAAGATGGAGATGACACCAGCCAAGGTAGAAAATATATATGAAAAAATAAGCTTATGAAAAGGAGAAGCAGCAGGAGGGTGAGAGGAAACACAGAAGTGACAAGCCCGATGGTGATGGTAGAGGGATAGTAGCAGATGATTTTATTTTTGGAGATGTTGAAGGTGAGATGCCTATGGGCCATTAAGGAGGGCCATTAAGGGAAGTTGCCCAGTTGGCCATTAAGGCAATTGGATGTATTAAGATTAATTAACTGTTTTTTTTCCCCAATTGGCAGTGTATTGAAAAAAAAAAAACCTGGCATGATGGCTCACTCCTGTAATCCCAGCACTTTGGGAGGCTGAGATGGATGGATCACTTGAGGTCAGGAGTTTGAGACCAGTCTGGTCAACGTGGTGAAACCCCATCTTTACTAAAAAATACAAAAATTAGCCAGGCTTGATGGCACCGGGCTTGGTGGTGCAGGCCTGTAGTCCCAGCTACTCAGGAGGCTGAGGCAGGAGAATCGCTTGAACCCTTTGGTGGAGGTTGCAGTGAGCCGAGATTGTGTCACTGCACTCCAGCCTGGGCAACAGAGTAAGACTCTGTCTCTTAAAAAAAAAAAAAAAAAAAAAAAAAAAGACTAACTCTGTAGAAATGTAGTGTCAGGCTCTGTACTAGCACTGGCTGAGTTGCATGACAGACATAGTCCTTGGCCCTGCTCAACCTGAGAGCCCAGTAGAGACACTATAATCTAGAGCAGGGGTGTCCAATCTTTTTGCTTCCCTGGACCACACTGGAAGAATTGTCTTGGGCCACACATAAAATACACTAACAATAGCTGATAGCCAAAAAAAAAAAAAAAAAAAATCACAAAAAAATCTCATAATGTTTTCAGAAAGTTTATGTGTTTGTATCGGGCCACATTCAAAGCCATCCTGTGCCACAGGCAGCCTATGGGCCGCGGGTTAGACAAGCTTGATCTAGAGCTCAGGGGAAAGGTGTAGGCTGGAGGTCTCAACATACAGGGGGAGAGTGAGAATTAAACTCTTAGAATTTATAAGTTTCATTTACTATGAACTGTATGCTTTATGCATATCATCTCATTTGAACTTCACAACAATCCTATGAAATACTATTAAAATGTTACAGATGAGGAAAATGAATGCAGAGAGCTAAGACTCAGAGGTCACAATCTGGCTTTTGGGCTGAATTTTATTCTAAGAGTTGTTTCGTTGCATTGATTTAAAAATCCTCTTAGACGGGTTCACACTGTCATTTGTTACTTTCCTACATTTTCCATTGTCTGAAATCCTATGTATACGTGCTTTACTCATAACCTCCTGTTCCCTTTAGGCATTTGATTTTGTATACTGTGGTTTGCTTAAGTGCCAAAGGTTAAAGAACTAGTAAATAGATGACTTTATTTTTTATTTTTGAGACAGAGTTTCGTTCCTGTTGCCCAGGCTGGAGTGCAGTGGCACGATCTCGGCTCACTGCAACCTCTGCCTCCCAAGTTCAAGTGATTCCCCTGCCTCATCCTCCTGAGTAGCTAGGATTACAGGCACCCGCACCACACCTGGTTAATTTTTTTTTGTATTTTTACTAGAGATGGGGTTTTGCCATGTTGGCCAGGCTGGTCTTGAACTCCTGACCTCAGGTTATCCACTCCCCTTGGCTTCCCAAAGGGTTGGGATTACAGGCATGAGCCACCACGCCCAGCCTAAAAATTGATAACTTTTATGTAAACCAAAAACTGTGCTCTTAACCATTATGCTATACTCTGTGGTTGGCAGGTACAAGGATTCTTGATAAAGGTGAAGAAAATGCATTGTGTGGCGACGCAAAAGGACTGATGACACATTTGTGGTCAGAAAGTAGGAAATCAGTTGAAGGTTTCAGATGTGTATTGGTTCTTGACTAAAAGCATTTTCTGACATGCTATTTTGTTATCTAAGGCTTGGAAAGCAATCTGAACCCCTAGCAATAATGTTATTCTCAACATTTTCTGAATCATGGAGATAGTATTTGCATTTTGTGCAACTGGAAGGGGTGGAAGAATGACAATTAGGCTTGGTCTATAACTATTAGAATTGCTTCTTTGTGTTGAAAAAGATGGGTACTAGTTCCACTAGGAAAATAAATTCATGAGGTCTTTGATCATTATGATTGAGATGCAAGCCTGTTTTAAATGTCCTGCTCTGCAGTGAGGTGTGCTAATCCTTGAGCAGCTAGATGGGAAATGAGTTCAAATTACCAACATAGAAAATAGGGGCAGGCCGTGTGCTTCAGCTGGATTGGTGCAGAATTCTGAGAAGTGGGCCAAAACCTGACACTACAGAAGGTGATTTGGATCCAAATTTGTGCCACCCAGAGGAGCTGAAGAATTGAGTAATTTCTAGGTTTAATTAAGAGCAGTCAGAAAGACTGCTCTTTCTGACTGAAATCATGTTAATTTGTAGAGACGTGAAGCAGAATGTGGCTGTGAGGAGGTTTTATGTTTTAACAACATTGTGTTACATGTGATGAAGGGTTTCAACCTTGTCTCTTTATTTGTGTCCTGGCAAAGCTATCCCCCTTTTCACATAATTAGCACTCTTCTGATGTCTTTCTCTAAGTGATATCTTGGATCCTTTTTATTTATTATTTATAGTAGTTGACTTTGATAGGGCCCACATATATGTACAAACACAGATACATGCATATATATTATACATATAAAATTGGCAAACTTTGATGTACAATTGTGAAAGTTGGGAGAAAGATGTTTATTGGGCATCCGGAGCTGGGAGCAGCTGAAGGCCTATTGAACTTCAGTCAGTTGAGAGTTAAGTACTCTTTTTATTTTTATTTTGAGATGGAGTCTCATTCTGACTCCCAGGTTGGAGTGCAATGGCACAATCTCAGCTCACTGCAGCCTCTGCCTCCTGGGTTCAAGCAATTCTCCTGCCTCAGCCTCCCGAGTAGCTTGGATTACAGGCATGCACCACTACACCTGGCTAATTTTTGTATTTTTAGTGGAGACCGGGTTTCACTATGTTGGCCAGGCTGGTCTCGAACTCCTGACCTCAAATGATCTGTCTGCCTCGGCCTCCTAAAGTGCTGGGATTACAGACATGAGCCACTGCGCCCGGCTGAGAGTTAAGTACTCTTGAAAAACAAAACAAAACAGCCCAGAAAAAAACCTCAGTAATTATATAAGGCAGTGGTCCCCAATATTTTGGGTACCAGGGACCTGTTTCATGGAAGACAATTTTTTCCTGGGGGTGGGGCTGGGGGATGGGGAAGGATGGTTTGGGACAATTCAAATGCATTATATTTATTGTGCACTTTATTTCTATTATTATTGCATTGTAATATATAATGAAATCATTATACAACTCACCATAATGCAGAATCGGTGGGAGCCCTGAGCTTGTTTTCCTGCAACGAGATGGTCCCATCTGGGGGTGATGGGAGACAGTGACAGATCATCAGGCATTAGATTCTCATAAGGAGCACACAACCTAGATCCCTCTCATGCCTAGTTCACAATAGTTCCAGCTCCTATGAGAATCTCACACCACAGCTGATCTGACAGGAGGTGGAGCTCGGACGATAATATGAGCCATGGGGAGCAGCTGTAAATACAGATTAAACTTCCCTGGCGTGCCAGAGATTCACTTCTTGCTGTGTAGCCCGGTTCCTAACAGGCCATGGGCTGGTACTCGTTTGTGGCCCAGGGGCTGGGGACCCCTTACATAAGGTGTTCACTATGAGATATAAGAGGACTTAGCCCAGGTGTTAAGGCAGTGTTCCAGGCCCCACTTTGGCTCTAATACATTTAGGGATCAGAACATGGACTCTCGAGAGCAGGTTCCCCCTATTATTGCTGGAAAACAAAATTTGCTAAAACGTGGAGATCAGCATATACTGTTAGATTCTGATGCCTCAGACAATGTAAGCAGTTTCAGATGATACCAAAGGTACAGCATGCAAAAGTGGGTTGCTGAAATTGGGCCTGAGGATTCGCAGGCAGCCAAACTTCGGGTTTTGGATAAATGAGGCACAGAAACGTTAAAATCTTGTAGGATGACTGCAGGTGTTAGCAGTAAATTTGGACTCATTAGGAATCTGTGTCTTCCACTAGGCTGTGAAATCTCCAAGGCCTGATAAAGGTTTCTGAATGAATTTGTGAAATATACGATTTCGGTGAAGAAAAGAATAAAGCAGGTGTCCAAACAGTTGAGGTTTTACGGTATTGGCATAAAACATTTGGACCCCTGGCGGCCGGTATCAGGGACTTCCCGAGGCTGGAAGAGTTCCGGGAAGGGAAGCGGGCCCCTCTGGAACCGAAGACATAGAATCCTAGCTACAGCTACTAAAGAAAAGTACACTATCAATTAGGGCCCGCGTCAGGTTCTCTGGATCTCCCCTTCTCCCATCCTGGACGCTCATCCCTGTGTTCTTTGCAGTGGGCCCGTCGGCCCTGCTGCCATCAATAGAAGCAGTACTCTCCCCGTCTGATTTCGCAGGGCCAAAGCCCAGGTGAGAGTCAGGGCTTTGGCTCCATTTCTGAGCCGCGAGGGCCGCACGCAACGAAATCAGGCAGCCCCAAACCTTGTGTCCTCCAGTGCAGTGAGTTCGGGAGCGACGGGCCGAGCGCGCATGTGCAGGCCCCGACATTGTGCTTGTCCCCTCCGGTGCTCCGTAGTTAGCCTCGGAGAGCTCCACGTAGGCGGCGCAGGCGCCCTTGGTGCACAGTTCACCTGCTGCCGTTGTCGTCGCCGCCGCGGCTCCAGGGGCTGGATGGGGGCCCGAGGCCAGCCAGTGGCACCCGGAAGAAAGAGACGCGGCGGCGGCGACGCCGACATCCTCAGGACGAGTGTCCGGACTTGCCCGCAGGCTCAAGGAGGAGGCGGCGAGGCCGGGTCCCCGCGGTCCCTGGTGTAGAGAAGTCGCCGTAGCCGCCGCGGCCGGGACTCCCCGGGCTCTCGCCCCTCAGGTCTCATTGACACTCAGGACCCTACGTACGCTGCGCCATGTTCAAGAAACTGAAGCAAAAGATCAGCGAGGAGCAGCAGCAGCTCCAGCAGGCGCTGGCTCCTGGTCAGGTACGATGGCCGCAGCTTTCCTCCCCTGGCTCCCGATACCCCTTGAACCAGCCCGCGGACGAAAAAGGCGGGGGGAGTGGGGAAGTTCTTCCGTGACCTTTGACCCCTAGCCCGGGACTCTTCCCAAACTCCGGATCCAGAAGGAGCTCTGGGCGTTGCAGGTCGTCCATAACTCCTGACCTGGATTTTCCCATCGCAAAACTCCATCCAGTAATGAGTGGATGGGGGTGGCTGGATCCCTCGTGACGTCCCATCTCCGTTAAGAGTTTTCTCCTAAGGCCAGACTCCGAACTTGCATGATTTCTGATCCGTATTTGAGGTTCCCCCGCCCATCTGAGACCCCACGCTGGGAATGAGGGCGGGGTTGGAAAACCCGGGTCCCTTGTGATATCTGACCTCTGCTCGAGGTGTCCCCCTCTCTCATGCCCATCGTGAGATTTTGTGTGAAATGGCCAGGATCCCGCACAACTGACCCTTGACGGAAGTCTCTTAAATCCAAACCCAGGTCTAGGGATTGAAGGCTGGGGAATAGAGCCATCCTGGGTCAGGCTGCTGGTAGGAGCGGTGGGACATGAAAGAGGTGGCGGCGTGGCCGGCGTCCAGCGCCCGAGGCTGTCACGAGTTAGTCACTTCGCATAACTCGGTTGATCCGGGACTGGCGGGCGGAGGGGGAGACACTCTCCCTGTCCAGAACTCTGCTCTGCTTTTTGAGTCTTGCTGCTCTGCGGACAGGGTTATGTTTGTTTTTCAGGAATGCTGTTGCTTTAGGAAATGCGTTTCCAGGGGAAAGGAGGCGTGTTAGTAGTATTAAAGATACAGTTTCCTAAGCGTTAACTGGAGATGTTTCGATGCTGGCAGCACAGGGTCTTAACAGCGAAGATGATGGTTTCTGCTTTATGTCTTCCCAGCCTTTTTGAATTGCAACAGATTGAGCAGATCTGTCCCTTAATTTTAGGGTTTTTGGTCTTTGCTTGCGGTTGCAAGAAAAGCTAAGTTTTGACTAACTTGGAGGCATTTCCAAATTCTTAACATACAACGATTGCATTAGGTTTATTCGGAAACTATAAATTGAAGTTGTTATTTTTAAATTTAAAGCTCATGTGTAGTAAAACAGTGCTTGAGAAAAACATCAGAACACAGCACTGAAGGGTTGCTTCGTTCCTCAAGTGTAAATGGTGGTTAAAATTTAAGTGGTAAAGATTGTCCTTTTCATACCATTTACTGCAGTCTTTTAAAATTTTACAAAACACTGTTAATTAAGAAACAAAGATAAACTTTAAAAGTGAGGTGGAGATGAGGAATGTGAGGAAATGGGCATGTTAGTGAATGTAAGGCACTTCCATTTGGGAATGTATAAAATGTAATTGAGCCAGGATTCCATTTCTAGAAATTTATTCTAAGAAAATTTAGGATGTATTAAAGATTTAGCTCTGTGGATTTTCATGTCAATGTTGTTTTAATAGGTTAAAAACTAGCCAGAAATGTCCACCAATAGAGAATTGGTTAAATTTTATCAGGTAATTAGTTATGCTTGATAGGTTATTATGCAGCCATAAAAAGTCAGCATTTATTGTGTCCTTAGTATGTACCAGATATTTTGCTTAGTATTTACGCAGATTATTTTATTTAATCTCACATAAGCCTGTGAGGTAGATAATACTATAATTCCTCTTTTATAGATGAAGGAGTGAGGCTCAAAAAGGTGAAGTAACTTGCTTGATGTTACGCAGCTAGTGTTAGAGACTTCAGAAAAGTATTAACACAGAAAGATATTTGTGTTAAAAGACAGAAGCAGCAGGTAAAATGTGATCCCAGTTTTGGGAAAAAGAATCTGTATGTAAGTGTGTTTATATATACACATGGTAAAACTAGTTTAAGAGTAATATACTTTAAGGTGCTGGTGAATTACTGAGTGTGCTTTTTCTTATTTGTAGCGTTTAGCTTTTCATGAAAATGAGTTGTTTTTGTTCATTAACAAAGAGGTTGTTTTTAGTAATAAGCTAGTCACAAGCTAAGATGTAAGAGCTCTGTTTCTATAGCTTAATGCTTCTGGTGAGACAGGGCATCTGGATCAAATAAAATCACTTTGTGTACAAAAGGTTTAAAATAATCCTTTTGGATTATATGTATATTCACTGTGTTGGCCAGGCTGGTCTTGAACTCCTGACCTCTGGTGATTGGCCAGCCCCGGCCTCCCAAAATGCTGGGATTACAGACGTGAGCCACTGCGCCTGGCCATTCGTGGTCTACTTTTGGTAATTATTTTGTAACCTTCCTTTCTGCCTGCCATATATCTTTCTCCTTGCTTGTGAATTGTTATGATCTTAGAAACAAAAAATGTGGCCTGGTATGGTGGCCTCACACCTGTAATCCCAGCACTTCGAATCACTTGAGCTCAGTAGTTCAAGACTAGCCTGGCCAAGATGGCAAAATCCCATTTCTGGCCAGGCACCGTGGCTCACGCCTGTAATCCCAGCACTTTGGAAGGCCAAGGCGGGTAGATCACCTGAGGTCTGCTAAAAGTACAAAAATTAGTGGGGCGTGGTGGCGCACACCTGTAATCCTGGCTACTCTGGAGGCTGAGGCAGCAGAATTGCTTGAACCTGGGAGGCAGAGGTTGCAATGAACTGAGATCGTGCCACTGCACTCCAGCCTAGGAGACAGAGTGAGACTCGGTCTCAAAAAAAAAAAAAAAAAAAAATTATGTTTTAACAACAAATACCTATTTTGGATTTTTAAACTCCTTGCAGAACTAAGTCAATGAAAGAAACATTAAGAAGTAATACATTGTAATTTCTTGGGATATATGAATACAATATTTTAAAACATTTTTAGCCTTTTCAAATACTGCTAAAACTTAAAAATTTAGAAGTACAGATACAAAAGGATGAATACATGACTCCACTTAATTGAGGTACCTAGAATAGTCAAATTCATAGGGACAGAAAATAGAATGGTTGTTGCCAAAGGCTGGAGAGAGGAGAGAATGGGGAGTTACTGTTTAGTGGGTACAGAGTTTTAGTATGGAAAGATGAAAATGTACTGGAGATGGACGGTGGTGATTCCACGACAGTGTGAATGTACTTCATGCCACTGAACTGTATACCTACAAATGTTTAAACTGGTAAATTTTATGTTATGTATATTTTATCACGATAAAAAAATTAAGTAAAAAAAATCAACATATGGGCCCCTCCTTACGCCTGCAGAATCATCCCTTATTTTTTTCCCTCAGCTCAGAGATGGCTGCTGACCTCACTCTTTTAGAGTGAGACCGCAAAATAATAGTTTGTGATACAAATTTAAAAAACAAAAACAAAACCAGCAAACAGTTCCACAGATAACAGGGAAAAGAGTCCTTTCTGAAAGGACATAGCCTTAATGTAAATCCAGGTTTACTAAATAGTTTCAGTCATGAAACTGGGGAAAGCATGAGTCCCAGAGAAAACATTTAGATCAGAAGGAGTTTATTAAGAACATGATGAAAGGCTTTAATAAGTTTGGTACCTAAAATATAAAGGTTTATTTGAAGAATTAACCTCAAGTTACTTTGACTGCTCTTTTAGAACTGGGATGTCAAATTGGTTTGGCAGTGACTTACAACAGTGCTGTGATGAGGAGTCAATGGCTATGTCTCTGCCGTGACTAATTCATAGTTGTTGCAGGGAGAGTGAAATGAACCAGATATTAGTTATGAACGGTGAATGCCTAGGCCCTCTGCTGGATGTTGCATTTGCTTTGAAGGGTCTATGTAGTCCCTACACAATGGAGTTGTGAGACAAGTACTTTCAGTGTAATGGTGGTATGTACAGGGTGTTGTGGTTGTGCAAAATAAGGCATTTCTGGAGAAGATCAGGGTGACATTTGAGTAGAGCCTTGATGGATAATGAAAAGTCGTGGTATAGGGACAAGGGATTCAAGACTTCCTCCTAAGGATGACTGGATTAGTTTTCTAATGTTGCATAACAAGTTACCACAACCTTAAGGCCTAATAACCCAGTTATTATTTTATAGTTCTGTAGGTCAGAAATCTGACATGGCATAACTGGGTTCTCTGCTCAGGGTCTTGCAAGGCTAAAATCAATATGTTGTCCAAGCTGCGTTCTCATCTGGAGCTCAGGACCCTTTTGTATGCTCACGTGGTTGTGGTAGAATTCAGTCCTTTCTGGTTGTAGGACTGGGGCCTTCATTTCTTGCTGACCACTTTCAGCTCCTAGAGGCTACCAGCAGCTCCTTGCCACGTGCCCGTGTAGGCATTTTGCTTTCTTCAGAACAGCAGAAGTACATCTCTCTGCCCTCTAGACCCATATTTGAAGGGCTTATGTAATTAGTTTAGACCTATCCAGGTAATCTTTTGATGAACTCATAGTCAACTGATTAGTAACCTAGTAACCTTAAATATGCCTTTAAAATCCCTTTGCCCTGTAATGTAACAATTATGGGAGTGGTATCTCATTATATTCACAGGGCAGGGGTCATTTGGGGTCATCTTACGATTTTGCCTGTTACAATGACTAAAATGGTTTTTCTTTTTTTAAGTTTTTGTAGTCAGGGCCTTACTATGTTACTCAGGCTGTCTTGAACTCCTGGCCTCAAGTGATCCTTTTGCCTTGGCCTCTCGGAGTGTTGGAATTATAGGCATAAGCCACTGTGCATGGCCAAAATGGTTTTTCTTATACTGAAATTGAGTATAACTGTGGTCAGTTAATAATTAGGCAGTGAGCGATAAAATATTAATTGTGGGTCTGGATGTAGCTGTCAGGTTTTTTGGTTAGCAGCTTAGAAAGCTGACTCAGATTTCTTATGGCTATTGCAATTAATCAGCTCAAGTTTGGTTTGAAGGAACCTAAATCCCTTTATATCTTGAAGTGAGGATAGCCCATTAAGGAACCCGGCACCTGGGACAAATGCTCAAGTAGTTAGTTCTTTA